ATTTTTTGATGTACACGAGTTTTTTGTGACAATCGGATCGGATTTCGAATTTCAAATTTCGGATCATGTATCCAAAATTTAATGGATTCCTACATATATTGAATTTTTTAATTTTGTCGGATAATCAAATCGGATCAGTAAAGACTCAGTCGGATTTTGATATATGACAATCTGGTATTCGTTGATTCGAAACGGTTAAAATATTTAAAATATTTTGGTTTTTAAGAAGATTGAAGCACATCAGTGATGTAATCACAATTTTAATATTTTGAGGTGTTTTGAAATATTTTTAGGTATTTCAAGATGTTGGACATTGTTTTAGAATCTTCCGAAATATTTTTGTATACTTCAAAAAATATTTTAAAAATAAATTCTTAAATTTTTTCTTTATTTTCATCATGCTTTTGAAACATTTTTGAAGCATTCCTCAACATTCTTGGTTTTTTTCATAAGTTAGGAACAAAATTTAATCATATAATTTAACCTACAAGAACACAAGAAAATGTACTGAAACAAATATGAATTTAAAATAAATTAGTTAAGGGGCAAAATAGTTATTTATGTACAAATATATTATCATAATAATCATATATTTTGTGTATTTCAAATATAGGTATGAACAACATTAAATATTAAATCTCATCTTTAAGTTTGAAAAGTTTAGACAAGTCAATTCAAACTTCTCACAAAAAATATACCAAATAGGGCCATAGTGCAAGACGTGATGCAATGGTTGGGTTCAGTTCTCCAATTTTTAAGAATTGAAGCATTATTCAATTTATTATAAATGATGAAGATCTATATATATATTCAAAAAAATTTAACTCTATTAAGTTTGATGGTGACTTTAAATCTTAACCATTTAAAATTAAATTAAAAGATCCTTCTATTCTTGTGAAATTAGAAGAGGATAAATCTCGCAATCGTCCACCAAGACAAGTTCAGCCTCATAAATTTTAATAATTATTTATTCATATAATATATAATCACTTCTCGTTAGGAGTGTTGTATTTGACTTATTCATACAAATTCGATGCGAATGATTATAAAATTAACAAAAATTATTAAATACATACAATAAATAATCTAAATTGTTGTTTAATATTTATAAAACATTAAATAAATTTTTTTTATGGGTCTTAACATGAATACGACACGAACACGATATATAAATTACACGAATATTACACGATTGAGATCCCTACTTCTCGGTGTATATAAGTGAAATTTATTTTAAATAAATAATTATATAACGTAATATTACTGACACGATATAACACCGAAGAAAGACTCTATGATTGGGAGGTGGACCGATGCAGGTGGTCAGATTTGGCAGGAGAGAGAAAAAGAGCAAGATTTTCATTTTTAAAAATTTTCCCGCCCCAAGAAAGTCAAAAATTGGTGGGCCGGCTTAGCTGTCAACTTTAATTTGTAGCCATTCTTTATTCTGGACCCTACCTCGATTTGCCCGCCATTATTTTTGTCAAATATAATTTTTCAGAGAAAGACAAATATAATTTTTTAAAGTAACTGTTTTAACAACTTTTCATTAGATATATGTACCTTGTGTCATGACTATGTGATTTTCTCCATTATGAATTATAGACTTTAACAAACAAGCAACAATTGTTATGAATTTTAAAAATACGGTACGATATGAATGATTTTGAGAGAAAAAATATTGATAATCGTTAGATGAGTCTATTTAAAATTATCGTATAAATTTATTAAAGATTACTCTATTTTATATTATAAATATAATAGAAGATAAGGTTAAAATTTTTAATTGAAAATCTTTCTCCCTAAAAGCACTATCTCAAACGCGAAGATCCCATTGTTTCCCTTACTTCATTTAGAGATTCATATATTTTTCATTACAATGGTACATCATCTCTCATGTAATATAAATGCGTCTTCATCCATAAATGAGTGAATGTGAAAAAAAATATATAATAGAGAGAATTTTAACCCCCAATCACCCCTAGAAGCCCCTCACATGCTAGGAATACCACATTTTTACATCGAAACTATTCTCACCACCGCCAAAACCAAAATCCCAACAACATCGACCAAAAATTTTTTTCATATAAAATAGTCTCATAAATTCTTATCTTTGGCCACATAAAGATCAAAATTAGATGTATCTTCTTAATCTAATGATGGAGTGAGGATGGGTAAGAATGGTGANCCACATAAAGATCAAAATTAGATGTATCTTCTTAATCTAATGATGGAGTGAGGATGGGTAAGAATGGTGAAGACGGATGGCACATTGATTGTTTAGAGAAGTATTTTAAAAGATCATGTAATGCGAAGAGAATAGAGAGAAATGAATATTGAGATGTCAACAACTAAGTTGCATGGCGATATGAGTGTGCTATTTTTGCTGTTATAGCGATGCGTATGACTATTTATTTTTTGTGTGTATTTCAAATAGAAAAAAAGTAAAAAAGATGAAGAAATAATGAGAATATCAGAGTACGCAATTGTTTTTAGTTTAGTTAGGAATAATTTTGGTTACCGAATTAATTTTTTTCCTAATGTTTAAAACCCTGCGGACTCTTAAAATATGATGAAATAATCTTAGCTCATTTTTTTCTTCTTCAAATTTAGATCAAGTTCAATCTTTTTATCATTTCATTGTTAGATCATACAAGGTGTTAGTGAACCCGTATAAATCAAATTGGTCGCATTTGCTTCTAGCAAAATTCTACTAATCAAAATATCAAGATGAAGATTGATTTCTTATGTCTCATTTTTGGAGGTTATATTGTGATCTCTTAGAAACNCTTCTAGCAAAATTCTACTAATCAAAATATCAAGATGAAGATTGATTTCTTATGTCTCATTTTTGGAGGTTATATTGTGATCTCTTAGAAACTTATTTTCACGTCTCTTTAGTTGGTCTATCCTTTGCTACAAATGCATCATGAAAAAATCATTCGTGTTACAAATAAGAGTTAAATCATGATGAGAGTTGGATATAGAACGTCCCTGACATGCTGAACTCAAGCATGATTGATCTGGAGTGAGGTGAATTTATTTTGGTATTCAATTGCGAAATTTAATGTTTAATTCAAAACTTAATTATACCAATTAATTAATTATGATAATTAATGCAAAATCCCCATTTTATCAAACAACCCAATTTACCAATCGAAAGGATTTAAGTCAAAATCCCCAAATTCAAGCATTCTCCCAATCCAATACAATCCAAATTGCCCAATAACCAAAACCATAACCAACACCACAAATTCGTATTAGTAATGCTCTGTTGACTAAATTTAGAGCCTAAATGACCCGACAACATATTATTTGAAGTGTTTATTGGGACCCAAATGATATAATACTAAATAAAAAAATTCAAGTCAACTGCCTTGTAATTTAGACCTTAAATTTAATCCTAAAATTTGATCAATATAATGTTATTGAATTCGAATTCATTCATGCATTCAATTGAATATGCGAAGAATATACAATTATCTGAAGTACAACAAGAAGCATACTCAACAACATAAAATGTTTAAATGAAAATCCTTGTTGGAAGACTGAAGTCTACTTAATCAAATTCACTATGCCGAAAGTAAAGATTGAAAGGGTTAAAGATTTATCTCAACCAATACCATAATTAAATAATTTCGTGACTTGAATCTTTGCTTCGTAATCCATCGGAAGCTCTTGAGTAATAGTTTCAATAGATGACAAACCGAGCTCCAAGACCCAAATTAGGTGGTGCAAGTGGGACGGTGCACAAAGATGGAGTAAATATTTAATATAACGGTTACACCATATTATTCTCATTACATGATATAATTAATTAATAATAAATAAATAGGATAAGTGAACCCCGTTAAACACACATGATAATAATTAAATGTAAAAATTATTTTTAATTATAAAATTTCGTAAAATTCATGAATTTAAATATTTATTCATAATTAGTTAATAACACTGCATAATAATAATGACGTAGTACTACCGTTATATTAAATATTTTTTATACAAAGGTGGTATACATATAATTATTGGCATAAGAATTAATTGTACTAGAAGTCCCTAAAGTATGAGGTTTGTCTAATTTTGGTCTTCAATGTTTCAATTGCATCATTTTAGTCCCTGAAGTATTGAATATATTTTTATATGGTCCTTCAAGCAAACAACGTTCAGATTGCTAACGATTTTTTGTCATAAACTTGTCACGTAATAGCTAAATATGGAAAAAAAAATAATTTTGATAGCTCTTAAACAAAATTTGGGTAGCTCTTGACAAGAAAAATGTGTAATATGGGTAGCTTTTGACTAAAATTTGGATAGTTCATGATCAAAATTGTGTAATTTAAGTAGTTATTTAACTAAAATTTAAGTAAAAATTTAGTTAAGAGTTATCCAAATTATTTTTTTTCCACATTTAATATCATGTGACAAATTTGTGATAAAAAATCATTAGCAATCTAGACACTGTCTGCTTAAGGGACCATATAGAAGTATATTCAATATTTCAGGGACAAAAATGATACAATTGAAACATTTAAGATCAAAATAAGACAAATTTCATATTTTAGGGACCTCCAGTGCAATTAACCATTGACATAAAATAATTTTTTTAGTATCTATTTTTAAAATTTTAAATTCACAAAAAAAAATGAAAATTTAGCACTAAGATTGTCAGCTATCATTTCGAAAAGAGCGAGTCTTCTCTCTTAAAAATTTACACCGGTAATTCCGCGCACCACCGGAAACTTCTCCGCTCAAAGGCGAAATAGAACACGCAAGGACACGCGATGTAAATCTTCACATATCCAGGGGCAGTTCCGGACAAATAAGAACCTCATAAAGAATACCCGCAATTTCTTGTAACGTTCCTCCGTGTCATCTCTGTAGAGGAATCTTCATCGTTCATCTTTATCCCCATCACCAAACCCTAGGCTCTTCACCATATATATAAGTTTGAAAAGTCCATTTAAAACTGTTCATTCTCATCTTCTTCACACCAATATATAGAGAGAGAGAGAGGGAGAGAGGGCGCAGAGCCTCCATTCAAATTCAGAGAAAAAAGAGAGATAGAGAGAGAGGGGTTAACGACGCGGTTTTGGTGTTTATGTTTGATTAGAGGTTGTGAATTAGGCCTTCGGTGGTGTCGTTTCTGATGGAGAGATTGGCAGCGACGGGGATGATATCGTCGAGGTTGTATGTGAGATGGGAAGAAGTGTACGTAACGAGCGATAGAGGGAGGAGAGACGTTCGGTACTATTTGATACGGAAGGACGGGACTTCAGATCTGGCTGTGGCTGGTAAAGAGAAGAGTTTGGGACGCATGTCCTATCGATACGCTATTCGTGATCTTTCTCTGGTATCGGCTTCCAATTCGTCTTCGTTTTTGAAGCTGAGATCGAGGAGAGAGGTCATCGATTGGTTGAATTCAATTGTTTCAGGTACGTCGTGAATTTCATTTAATTTCAATTTGTTGGAAAGATTTTATTTTTATTTCTAGATTGATTTTTATCAAGGAGTGAATTTATAGAATTTCGATATATATACGATTAACTTAATTTTGTTTCTCGTATTGTGCTGTGGATCTCTATTATGTATAATGAATTGATGTTATTTGATTTTCTTACGCTTTTGGGTCAACGTTTAATTTTTTATTTTGTTGGTGATATTTTATGGATTTATGGATTTCTTATCGTGATAGGTGAATACTTTTGTCGTTTATTTTTCCTTTTTCTTAATTTCTAGTTCCGTCTTTCGTCTTGTGGATAGATCTGTGTTCTGCTTTGATGGCCTGTTTCTTCTTCTTCTTCTTATACTCTGTTGCCTCTATCATCTACATCTGGAAATTTTGAGTTTTATTTATTTATTTGATCAGAGGACATCTACAACACTTCTACTTAAAAAGCAGAAGTGGCGTAGTGTCTATATAATCCACACACACCCTAACGATTTAATTTTATTTCTGAATCGTCAAAAGACGACGTGTTCAAGACGTAGTCTATTTCGATTTCATCTTGTCATGATCTGCACACACCTTTGATGTGATGTGTTCTTGACGGATTTTTCCTTTACGGTGGTTTTGAAACAGTTCGATGTTTTCTTAATTTTTCTGCTACCTTCTTGGGTTAATCACTCTAATTAAAAGATCTGTTTTTTTTCCCACATGGGTAGCTTGTACTCGGCAAGCTTAAATTTCAGCCAAAAATATTTTTGTTTTGTAAGTGAATTTTCAAACGGAATGTTTTGATTATTTGCTTTTTTGAGGATTTGTGGCGATATCTGCCTCTGTTTCGCCTGATGTTTATTATGGCAATAGGTTCTATGAATTTGAGGAGGAAGTGTTTTTTTTTTCTTTTGACAGGCGGAGGGGTGTTCTGGTTGGAAGTCTTCACGGATTTTATATTTAGAATTGTACTAATGGATTATCTTGATTTGAATTCCCTCCAATACATATATTCCTCAATCATAGGTCACCCACCCTATATCGGTAGAGAATCTATTATATATAATTGGTCCCAATTTGAATTTAGAGTGGGTTATCTACAACTGAGATATGTGAAAAAAAAAAAGGGATTTGGACCAAATATGGCACAATTTTATGCAGCACCGTGCTGCTGGCCCTAGGCGTAGGCGAGGCCCCCCAATTTAATAAATAAAAAAATTTAGAATCAATTAAAATTTTTTTAGGGCTTCTAATTTTAAGCTAATATTAGGTATGAAGTGCAAATTCAATAAGAAATCGATGCAGAAATAACAAGCTTGAGTTTAGTTTTGGTAAATATGAGTGATAAACAAATGAACTTGATATATCTCTCAAATAAATGGTCAGCATAAATCAGACTAAACACGAAACGAATTTGCTAAATACAACTGATATGTAGTACAAATTTGACTATACAAAATTATAAATGAAACGGGTATAAATTGAGTTAATTTTGATACAACACAATTGAAAGCATTTTATTACCTTTGTTTTTTCAGTCTTACATATTTTATGTAAATATTGAAAAAATGAGCTATCTCAATACACAATACCTTAAATTAAGTGAAATTTTTGTAACGTCTTGTCTTCTTAAAAATTCCAAACAATCTTAGGAGGAGTTTTTTAATTTTAAGATCCTTTATCATAGAAAAGAGATAGGGCATGGGTAATTTTAATTTATTAACCTTTTAATCATAATTTAAATCAAGGTAATTAATCTACAGAATAATAATCAAGCCATTCACTCAAACAAGAAAACCTAACATTTAGCACAACGTTACAACATAATTAGAGCATCATACCCTTAAAACATCTTAACAAACTGTGTACAATTATAACACATGACATAATGTACAACTAAGACACCTCTATGCCAAGCTAGACTGTTCAGTGGTACACACTTGGTGATTATATTTGAGACATATACAAAGAAAACATATAAACACAGAATAGTTATAACAAATTGCACATATTAAAGTTTAATACTAATATCCGACTATTCAGTAGCACTTGAAAGTTTCGGCTAGAATTAATGACTACCCATTTTTGCTTGGAAGTCTCGACAATTACTTTGCTACCATTTATGTTCGGGAGTCTCGGCAATCACATCGTTATCCGTTTATGTTTGGGAGTCTCGACAATTAATAATATCAAAAAAGCGTATAATCACCTAATTAAAAACTTGGACTCATAATCCACTAATCACATTCTAGTTATTACATATAAGTATAGCTAATAAATGATCAATTATATTTTCAATCAATATGAATTAATACTCAGCACGGGTTAATTTCCAAGCTCAAAATCACTTTTCTTGTGAAACCTTAGGTGAGACCGGCGTTGATGTTGTTGTTTTTGCACCTAACACATACATTGTCACAAGACACATGAGTACTATATTATGTATAGACATGCACGAATGCATAATCATGCTTGAGACAACACATTTCCAATCACCATCTAATTAATATAGTGTGCTTAAATCCTTGGATTTTAGTTATGTATTTGTGGTCACTAAAATCAATTAGAACTGATTTAAACCCATTAGGATGCTTTGGGAAGCTTTGAAATTGAGCGGTTGCCTTTCTCCTTTAAACATTGGGAGCAGAAATGTCCCTAGGAAAATTTGTGTATAGATGATTGGGGATTAATGGTGTTATAAAAAATTTCAATGGGACTTTAGCCATTTGGATTATTTTCACATTCTTTTGTCTCGAACTTTTCAAAATTGAATCTTAATTATGTTGGGAGGACTGAAAACTGAGACTTGTTTTTAACACTTTTTTTAGGTTTTTGTATCTTCCAGTTAAGAATTTATTAATTGTTGCTGTGATTTATGCTGACTATTCACAGCAACAATTAATAAATTTGGTGTTATGGGGTTCCTTTGTTCCTTTTAACGGAATCTTGGAGCTATTCTTGATCATCTTCCTGTGCAAATTTCTGCCGTTGCAATTTGTTCATCAGTGAGATACTCTTCATCTCAATATTTGTGGTGATCATCTTATTGAAAACTGATTGTAATCTGGGCTGCAGGAATTTTGCATCAATTTGTAAGAGCTGGTTGAGAGCTACGGGATTCTTTTGCCCTCAATCTAGGTTAAGATCTAAAATGTTCTCTCATGGCCTATTGTACATTGGTTCATTTGTTAAATTTTCTTTTTGTGGTATTTAACTCTCCCAGCTATTGTCTTAGTTGTCGAACTCTTGTGCTGTTGAGGCACCTAGGAAAGTTTCTCTTTCCAGTTGGCACTTGCTACCATTTACATGTTGCGTTGCTAAGATAAGTATGGCTGAGTGCACGTTGAATGTTGTTGCTTACATTAGCTTTTGCATTATTTCTTTCAGGTTTTGCATTTCAAGTGTGTACACTTAGTTTTCATTAACATCCACAGTAACATCTATTATTTGGATAGTTATTGTTTGATTTGAAGTGTCGCATTTAGTTGATGAAGGAGCTACTGTTCTTATTTGTTGTAGGTTCAGACTTGCAGCATAATCGATCATTCCGACCAGTGGGAGGTTTGAACAGAAAAGTTGCTTGCGAGTTGGATGTAAAACCTTTCACGGTGTGAATTTTGCTGTCTTTTCTACTTTCTTCATATGATATTAAGATTAAAATAAAAGTATCATTGTTATTAATTTTGTCATTTTATCTTTTTCCAGGATGTTCAACTACGGAAGTTGGGTCAGCATAAAAAAGATTTTTTGTGGCTAGGCTCTCCATGGATGTGTGGGAAAAGGCGGAGACATTACCAATCATTTCATCGTAATGGTGTTAAAATTTCTGTAAGTGCTAATGTGCAATTTTGACTGGCAGCTTCCAATTCAAACAAAACAGCTCATTTTGTGGTCAAGTTTTAAGTTTAGGATTGTTGTTGAACTGATTTGGTGCTCTTTTGTTATTTTTTTTATATCATTCGCAGGTTCATAACTTTGTTTATGTTTTGGCTGAAGAAGATAAACAACTTGTTGCTTACTTGGATGATATGTATGAAGACTCCAGAGGCAACAAGATGGTTGTAGTACAATGGTTGCACAAAATTGATGAGGTTGGTATTGCTTTGCCTCACAATTACATTGACCGAGAGATTTTCTTTTCTCTATGTCTTCAAGATCTCAGTGTTGAATGCATAGATGGATTGGCAACTGTTCTCAGTCCCCAGCATTATGAGAAATTTCTGAATGTGGCAGCACAAAATCAATTGGAACCATTCGTATGCCACAAGCAGTGTGATGTTGATGATATCAAGCCGTTTGACATAACTCAAGTTAAAGGTTACTGGAATCAAGAAATATTTAAATATGTATCAACAGCTTCCCTTTTAAATTGTTGGCCTTCCACTGATGGTCTGGAGGTGGAAAGGCATCTGAGTGATGCTGTTGGGATCAGGCCTAAGAAGAGGCTTCGTAGGCTAAGAGACTGTGAACATGACCCGGACTCTGCTAAGAAGCAGGAGACCAAGGATGCGTGTTTGGATGTACAAGACTTGAGAGTTGGGTTTGAAATAGGCAGTTTGAAAGAACAATGCTCTACTGCATCTTTATGTGGGAAAGAGGCAATAAAACAGAAGCATCCACAGTATTTAACCATAGGTTCTCAAGTTGAAGTGCTCTCTCAGGATAGTGGCATCAGAGGTTGCTGGTTCAGAGCACAGATCATCAAGAGGCACAAAGACAGGGTGAAAGTGAGATATCAAGATATTAAAGATGCAGCTGATGAAGCAAACAATTTAGAGGTGAAGAGTCTTGTTATCATTCTTCTTGATGTTTATATTTCTTCATTTCTTTCCTACTGCGAGGAATATGCCAGTTATCTTCTGTCATGACATCTTTCTATATTGTTTACTATTTGATCTTGTAGGAATGGATTTTGGAGTCCAGGGTTGCCGTTCCTGATGAATTTTGTCTCCGTGTTCATGGGAGGACAACTGTTAGGCCGAGCCCACCATCCAACAAAAGCAGATTTTCATGGGTTGTTGAAATTGGAACTGTTGTGGATGCATGGTGGCATGATGGCTGGTGGGAAGGAATTGTAGTTAAGAAAACATCCAAGGATATGCTTCATCTTTATTTCCCAGGTTTGGAATTTTTTCTTTGTTGATTTTGTTTTTCAGCATGGTCAATCTCAAAATTTCTAGTTATCTATACTGCTGTTTTTTTTTCCTGCTAATTTCATATTCTTACGTAGATGCTCTATTTTTTACTCACAGGAGAAAAGCGGGAATCAATATTCAGTTCGAATGACTTAAGACGTTCTCAGGAATGGTTGGGAAATGGATGGAGAAACATAGAGAAAAGACCAGAGCTTGTGACCTTAATATTTTCTGGCCTTGAATTAAAGCGAAGTATGCCTAAATTATGTGATGGCAAACTGGACCAAGGTGCAGTATGCAGTAATAGAGTTCAGAAAGATTGCTTACCAGTAAAGGATGACAGTAGAAGTAGCAATATTTTGGTGCATTCTAGAGAGGACAAGGTAAAAGAATTAGAAGTGGTCCGTGATCTTTCGAAAGATGTTTTGCTTTCACAGTTGAGGTGGAAGTCATCAAGAAAGAGAGGCCGTGGTAGGAATTCTGCCCAGAAAGTGCTTTACAGCGTTAGTGAGAATAAAAGCAGCCCAGAAGCTCAGAGAATGCCAACCTGTGAAAATTTTTTCATTCCTTCATCCCTGAAAACTGATCATGACAACTGCAAGTACATTGAGAATCCTATGTTTAGCTCTTCAGTCGTACCTTCTCTAACAAGCTTAGTTATGTCTAGGTAATAGTTGTCCTCCACTAAATTTGGCTTCCAAAGTCATTTTTGGAACTTCTGATCCATTCTCCATTGGGGATACTAGTTGTTATAGAGGGATTAGGCTTTTAGATTCATGTTCATCGACTCCTAGATGTTCTTCAATGCGGGCAATGTTTATTTAACTCCTTTTCCCTTTGTATCTATAGCTGACGATAGCCCGGAGAGGCTACAATGCCCTCCCAAGTAATGAATGGGCAGCTGTTTTGAGCGCAGTAGAACACCTTTGTTAGAGCTCTAATGTCTTGTCCTGTACCTATACTTAGATTTCTCTCCCCCATAGATCTCGAGGATTTAATGTATTCTGTACAGAATGTTTCTGATAATGAAATAGTTTATTCATTTCATCTTCTATAATGCTCTGACTTTTTCAAAGCTTATTGAACTTCTTTGGTTATGTGTTGTTGGATTTCTCTGGTTTGATGTATATACCTGGCTAACATGTGGTTTGAAGCATTGGGTTTTTTTTTTAGAGTAATAATATTTGGACTTAAAAATTTGATCTAATTTATTAATATAATGATGTAGTTTCAGTAAAATTATTGGATCGATACTAAGTTCCAATGTTTGATAGGTCTTACAGTTAATTCAAAGGTTATAGTGAATTAGGCCAATAAATTAGGTTTTAATAGTATTGCTCTGTTTTTTTATGGGTGTAATTTGAATGTGTTAATCTTAATTCGACTCAAAAAAAATAGAATTTGGGTCAAGGTTTTTAATATTAAGGTTAGGACCGAGTTGAAAAATATTAATCGCAATTGAGGTATCGGGTTCAATTCAAATATATAAATCGAGTTGAACCCGAATATAAATTAGACTTAACCCGAATATTAAATCGGGCAGTTCACACTTCATATTTCACAATCACCTCAGCATTCACTCAACTGTGCCAACCCCCTCTGACCCTTCACTCAGCCAGCCAGCCTCTCACTTCTCTCTCAGCCAGTCAGCCTCCCTCTCTCGGCCTATTCCATTGACACTCAATCACCACCACCAGTCACGACCGACAACTAAGGGTGCTCCCTCTATTATATGGGTATGAAATATGCTCTTTTGTCTTCCTATCCGATATTTTGTAGAAGAGTTTTTTCTTAGCCTACCCTACCCGACAGGTGTGAAATTTCTACTCGACTTCCTACCATATTAATCAGGTAGGAAGTCGGGTAGGAAATCGGGTAAATATTTTTGTAACAATTAATTTTTGGATCATTTTAATAATTTAATTAAATAACATACACCAATTTAACAACACAATAAATCAATTAACATTAAAATCTAAAACAACTATATCAAGAATTATAATAAAACACAAGAAAATATGAACATCAATCTACCATAATTGTTACACAAATATAAGAACAATTAATTTAAGTTTAAACTTTAAATCATATAAAATACATTAAAATCATAATTGTTTCGCCTATGATTAGGGTTTAAGGTTTTTTAAGTTTATATATATATATTAAAAAATTATTGCGGGTAAGGTAGGGTAGGAATGCGAAATAGATGGCTATTCCGCATTTCTACCTGAAAATTGTCAGAAGACCAAAAACTCTTCTGCATTCTTACCTGATTTTTGTGGCTAACCGTTCAATAGGGTAGGGTAGGGTCAGGTAGGATAGGAACTTGCGGCCGGTTGAAAATTTGAACACTCTTACCGACAACCCTCGCTTTATTTTCATTGACGATCGACTCACTCTGCCTCTCTAAGTCTCTCAACCTCTTACAACGAAGATCTTCGACTCTCTTAAATTTGTTCCTCTCAACAAAGACCATCACTGGTATATACGAGTTTAGGTGTAAGATTCATTTTCAAATTTTGCCAAAATTAAACTTTCAAATTTCATTTTCATTTTCAAAATTTTTCAAAAATAACCTGAAATCAACCCGAATTGAACTTGAGCATACATTGAATTCAACTTGTACAATCCTCGGATTGAGGTTGAGTTATCGTTAAGATTATGTTTGAAGATTATGTATTTAGGGTTAGATTAGGGTTGACCCATTAACCCACCCAACTAACCCGAATTGAGCCCCTACTTTTTCGCTCTCTTGCTATCCATCTGTAACAATGTTGATTCAAGTATTGCCGTGAGGTGTTCATCTTGAAGAGGCTATGGATTCCTGTTTTGTTGCTAAATTGTTATTTTCATATTCTTTGTTCTTATTCTTAAGTGCATACTTAATCTTTCCTCCATATTTAGAAGTTACAGGTAGTAAGCTTGAAGAATTAGTAGAAATAACACATATACACATATGCGGTAGGGTTGGGGTTGGGGTTGAGTTGTTGACGGATTGAATTTAGAACACGTTTCACAATTGTAACAATAACGGCCAATACCAATGACGGTGGTGGTAAATGATGAATGGTGGTTTTGGAAAAAAGAGATAGTGGGTTTGTAAAAGGAAGAGTGACTATAAATCAGAATAATAGATAAAATTGTAATAGAATTTTCCCAAAAAAATATTGTATAAATGAGTTTATTATCACAAATGGAAGTATAGTGCAGTTAAATGAGTGTTCAAAATTTCAACTGGATAAATTGTAATTAACTTTGGAACCACACAAAAACCTCTTCCCCTCTAACAATAATCACATTATACTCATATTCTTTGACAATTCTGGTTGTTTTATAAGGTCGTGATTATGAAAGATTGAATACCAAATTTTATCGTCACAAGGAATATTTTCAAGAAGTTAAACTTTTTTAATCAGGGTTATTGTTGAGTGTAAGCATGGGTTGCCATTGTGTATTGTCAATTGTACAAACATATTAAATTAGGTTTCTAGATTGTAGGGTTGTGCCAAGCAGCCAAGCACACCATTGACTATAATATGCATTCAAGACCTAAGTTAGCATGTGTTGAGAGAGTTTCTAAAGAGCCAAGCCTTACACAACTCCAATCCACTCTCTATTTTTTAATTTTTAGCTATTTTACGTAGCTAAACACTAAAAATCCTCTCCGATTCACTTTCTATCCCACTATATATTTCTTATTTCACATTTTTGGCTCTTCAAATTTAGAGAGTCATTCAACCTCGTTAAAATTCCCCTCTCTCTCTCTCTATATGTATATGTGATGCAATCCCCTGTACTTCTCTCTCTCTCTCTCTCTCTCTCTATATATATATATATATATATATATAATAAAATAAGAGTGTGTTTAAATTTTATTCTAGTCATATTTTTTCCCTCAAAGTCATCACCAATTATTTACCTCACTCATCATCCCTTGTCAGACTCAAACGTCAAATCACATCACTCATTTCTATCACATATTTAATTATTTATATATTTTCTCCCTAAAAATATCACACCACTCATTTATATCATATATTTAATTATTTAATATTTAATTAATTTGTAGTTAATATATTTATATATATATGCTGCCAAAACAATATATGTTGCAATTCCCCATGCCTTCCCCCAAACCTTTCTTCCCCTCCCTCAAGAGCTCTATTGAGTTGAATTAATTTAAATTTTGAGTTAAATATGACCGTTTAAAATATGGTCGTTAAAAATATGACGACGACGTAGTAGATTACGTTATATTTTTTGATTTAAATTATTAAAAGTTAGTTAAAATAATGAGTTAAAATAAATAGCGTAGTTAGAATAAATTATAAAAATAATTTTTTTAAATAAAAAATATAATATTTAAATATATTTTGAATATCTAAAATGAAGAATTGAGTTAGGGTTCCTATTAGTCCACTAATTTTTTAAATAAAAAATATAATATTTAAATATATTTTAAATATCTAAAATGAAGAATTCGGTTAGAGTTCCTATGAGCCCACCAAACACGATCAAAATTCCAGACTCCAAAATGCTTGGTTGTCACTGCCAAACCTAATTGATTATTGACCTGATGAACCAAAAGTAGGAGAGAGAGAGAGAGAGAGAGAGAGAGAGAGAGAGAGGGGGGGGGGAGAGGTGGTCTTCCAAGCAACCCCAATACAATAATTCTGTGCAAGAAAAGTTCAAAGGAGGAAATTGTGGGTCGGACTCTGGGAATGAGGCATCTTTGTCAACAAATGACCTTTACCCATTTGTTATTTAACCATGTCCATGTCTGTCTTTTCAATTATCTCTGTAACCCTTGTTCTCCAACAAACCAAGCATCTCAGAAAGATGGGAGAGCTCCATCACTGTAGCTGGAGCTGTTCATAGATCATTTTCTCTCTCTCTCTCTCTCTCTCTCTCTCTCTCACACACACACACTAGGTGAGAATGAACTTTTACCTTCACTGCTCTATATGAAGCTCTTGCAGTGTTCAGGTAATCACAGAACAGAGCATGGCTTTTGTTGGTGGGCATAAGAAAGGGTTTACTGCAATTGGACTCAGAAACTCAGGGAAAACACTTCAAGTCCAACCTAGAACTACCCTTGCTTCTATTGAATCCTTGACCATTCCTCTTGTAAGCTCTCTCTCTCTCTGGGGCAATGTTCTGTGTTTGCAATTTGCAATTGGGTTTGCACTTTTGGCCTGTTTGTGTTTCTATTGTTTACACTTGCTGTGGTTATGGGCTTATGGGTGTTGATTTTCAGGTCCAGGAAGTTGTTTTATTAGCTGATTTTCGATGTTCAGGGTGTCAGAAGAGGGTTGCTGAAATAATGTCTAAAATGAATGGTAAGTTCTCATTCTACAATTCCTTCTCTGGTTCATCCCACTGGGAAGAAACCTGGTGAAACAATTTTTTACCCAGTTTTTAGCCATTGTGGTGTTGTTAATAACTCGTCTCCTGGTGATAATTGGTCAGGTTGTCTCACATTGGCATCGTATCTAGTTGTGTCTTGTCCCAATTTATTCAAAATTATAAATTATGGTCTACACTTAAAACTTACTAATTTCTTATCTGGTTCACTTGTGCATTTATTTTAGATCGAAATTCTCTAATTCCGTGTTTGATTTGCAAGACATAACTAGAATTACCTTAGTGCAATCGACATTACTACATGTTCTATTCCATGTTTGATTTGCAAGACATGTCAAGAATTATAAGGGATATAATTACATGTTCTAAACTACTACAAAAGTATCTTTTACCCAATTTTAATTTTAAAGAACGTGGCCACAAAGTGTTTGTAATGAAAATTAAATCGAAGTAGTATTGTCCATTTATAATATTTGAAGACAATTGTAATTTGAACAATACTATGCACACCAAAAGTGTGCACCAAATTATTTGCAGCCGTCAGATCCGTGGGTCTCATCATTGATCCAACGACTATAGATAATTTGGTACACATAATTTTATCCTTGTAATTTCCTTGGATTCCCTCTATACTTATTATAATGTCTAGTGGTATGGAATCACTTTCAATGAACTTTCAAGAACTAGCTCCCTTTCAAGCCAAAAAGTGGTCTTTTCCTAAGCTCTCTTATTTTTAATTGCTTTTTGTTAAAGAATATCAACTAAATTCCCTAGAAATCCTTTCAAGTTGCTTTTGTCCATTGACATTATCAACAATTTGTTCATTATTAAATTAACTTGGAATTTATTTTGTTTTGTCCTGGCCGTGGGTTCTACATTGACATATAGATGATGTCGAAAAAAATTCGGTATTGTACTACTTATCATTTTTTGGGTTAACTTTTGGATTGCTGTTACTTCTTTGGTTCAATTACCATTTTTTTTGGATTACTTGCCCTTTTTTAAATTAAAATTTATTATTTTTTGGATAGAATTTACTATTTTTTATAGATTTTTTCACTTTTCAGTATGGTAATCAGTGGTATGGGTGAGGTGAAATCATCAAGTCATGTGATTTCTGGGCCATAATGCCTAAATTAGGGGGTATTTTGCTGTAGTGTACTCATTTCATCTACTATTTTAGATGATTAACTTTGGCCAACTTTCCAGCAAAAGGCATCACTTTTTTACTGGGAGCAGGAAGCATCATTTTTATTTTTATTTTAACTATGTAGATGCACATTTTAAAACCTTTTTTTTTTTTTTGGGGGGGGGTTAGTCCTAGACTAGAATTCTAAATAATATATTTCAGCGGTCATGTCGGGTCTTGGCCGCAATGGTAAGGTTACTCTATTGTGACCTGGTGGAGGTCACGGATTCGAATTGTGGAAACAATTTTTTTATTTATAGAGGTAAGATTGCATAAATCTTACCCTCCTCATACCCTACAATGGTGAGAATCTTGTGTACCGAGTACGCCTTTTATGTTTCTTCCGGATAGGTTTCACAAATTTAACATGACCCATCAACTCGACAGAAAATTGACATGAAATTAGATTTAGTCTTGAGTATTTAATTCATAACCCAAGACGGTTGATTGTCTGTAACAACTTCATAAATTGGTTACCAAGAACTTGACTATGTACAATGAACCGTACTATACACGACTATAGATGTGTTAGAGCATGAATTGGATAAATTTTAGCACGAGAGCATACAACACAAACCCGACACGATTTAAACATGCTATAAACCGACATGACACTGATCTATATTAGTACTGTAGAGTTATTTGAAGTTGGTTATGTCTTTGGTTAGCCAAATGATTTGTTCTTGTTCATTTGTCAGGAGAGTCTGATTCTGTGGAGGTGAGTGTGTTGGAGAAGAAGGTAACACTCACTTGTAAATACCCTAAAGCTCTCGAAGTACCTTCACAACAAGTTGCTGCAATATACAGAAATCCCCTCAACAAATTCACCATGTCCATGATCATGCGGCTATTTCGCTGTTCACGCACTTTATTAGAAATCAAAGCGATCCCTCGTACGCTACCACAAAAGTGATTGTAATTACAACATTATTATGCGAATCAAAGTTGTTATATTGTAAGTATATCACCTCCTGTTGATAAATAAATTTGTTATTAGCTTCTGAAACAAATTGTCCATTAGACAAGGAGAAAGAGCAAAACTATTGATGTTATGACCAGATTTTATCATACTCTAGGCCACTGGATAGTCTTGGGTACACAGTTTTTATGGGTGCAGGATTTCCTCGGGCCAGACAGAGATTGACCCGTGGGTGCAAAGGCATAAAGGAATTTGACTATGAGTCACCTGCAGGGATGTAAGTCGGCCTTAGATGGATCCTAGAGGAAGGGATTGACTCGAATGAAAAGAATAAACACAAAATCGCAACATCAATTTGTATTTCGTTTTTGGAAAGCTTCTTTTAATTGACAATGTCAAGTTGTTTTTCTTTATTCCTTGATAGGTACATTAGACCTGACAGATGAATTCATTATACATTGATTACCTAAATATGTATGTATTATACATGGTTGCTCGGGTGGGGATAGGGATAGAGTGAGATAAATAATTAAATGAGTTCATCGTGAACAAGTAAGATGTATCATGAAACTTTGTGAACAAGGAAAAGATGCTTTACCATGTTGAATTGTTCAAGTTACACAAATCATTAACCCATGAAGATATGCTTCCTTTAATCAGAGATCATAAAAATTAAACTAACCTAAGGATGAAGTAGTTGAAGAAGAAAGCCAAACCATGAAATCTCTCTCTTTCCTAGACTTCTCAGCCTAAGCAGAATCTGATTCCAAGACACCAGAGAAGAATTTGCTCGAAAATCCGAAGCTAGAAATATCAACCTTGCCATGATCTCTTGACTCTTATATCGAAAAGTCCCTTTTCCGACTATTTCTTGCTATCACAACTTCAGATCAATCTCAAATCTGATCAAATTTCTATGTTCATCTTGGGCCAGGCAAGTATTTTAGTTGCATATCAGAATTCTTGTTGATTTTTTTTTTAAAAAAAAAACATAGATGCATTTCTCATAAGTCATGGATTAAACTCTAAGGGAGATTTCAAATTTTTTTTTTGTTAAAGTTGGCAGGTTTATTGCATGGTGATGAGGATTAACCTGGACTGCAATGCTTGTTGCAGAAAGCTAAGGAGAATCCTTCTCAATATGAAAGGTAAGGCTTCTAACTCATGGGCCAGGTAAGGTCCCATAGGGGTTGGTTGAGCGATCGAACACCGGACAATGAGCCTTTCTGGAGCTGATTTTTTTTATGTGAAAATTTGTGATTTGAAAAACTTTGCAAAAAAAATTTTAAAAAATTCCCCAAAACTGTTTGGTATGTTCTTTAAAAAATTGAAAAAGTCCATTTGAAGTGTCTTTCTATTTTTTTAGTTTTTTGTGTCAAAATAAAAAATAATTACATATATATATATATATATTGCATAATATATTTTTTTACGTCACTAATAATATTGTATGAATATAATAAATTAAAGAGTTACGTGGGACCTGTGACAAAATTCTAAAAGTGGAAAGAAAAGTTCATAAAATTAACTTCTTGAATCAGACAAAATAAGCCTTTTTTTGTCCAAAAAGCTACTGCATAAGCTGGTAAAAAAGCCAAAGTTCAAACGAACGTAGTTTAATTTAATCCAAGACCCTTAAAAACCACCTGTTTAAGCTAGCTCCAAACACAAGCCCGATGTAAATCTTCATGTCCTAAATTTGAGTTTCTCTATCCATATAAAACCCGATTCAAATTGACATCTGTAGTTTACAAGTGATTTTACACATGAAGTTTATGTTGTAGTCATAAATTCAAAAGACACATGATTGAGATAATTATTACTACAAAAAAAAAGTCCTCACATATATAGTTAGTCTGATGACCAATTTTTCTGTGTGATCAATGGTTGAAGGAGTAGAGACACACTTGATAGAGGAGCAAAGCTGCAGGGTAAGCGTCTGTGGAAGATTTCATCCAGCAGATTTGTCGATAAAGATCAGGAAAAAGATGAATCGGAGAGTCGAAATTCTGGAAATTCAAGGGGCCAGTGGGATCAATGGACATGTAGAATAGAATCCCCAAGTCACAGAGAGTTGTACAGAGCCCTGACTTGGCTGTGCACTTTGGGAAGCAATGAAGTAATATGCTATTTACTTCAGAAATTACATAGGATGTAATACTTGTATAATTTTCATTTTTCAGTTCAACGTGTGATCCACGAGATGATTTTTTTTTTTTTTTTAAGATTTTAGAGAGCCACTAATGTTAAAATGAGATATCCGTATTTCTATTTTACGTTAAACGATGAGGTTAAGAAATGATAAATTTGGAAAGAGAGATTAAGAAATTATTGAAAATTCTTTTTTCTCTAATAATTTAGTTCGGGGGTATAAATAAAATCTCTTTATCACATGGTTCGAAGGAATATTTTTAATTTTTGTTGAATTAGTAGGTATAAATGTATCGATCAAGTGAATTTCGTTTTGATGAGGGTCATTTCATTTCAATAAAAGAAAAGCAATTAGATTAGTATCGATTTTAATTTAAAATGATTCGTTGCATTTTACCCTAGACTTGATACTCCTGATTTTCTCCTAATGTTCGAGTTCGGTAACCAAAAATGAACTCTCAAGAGAAAGAGGTTGACATGAATGTATTATGGCTCTAATTTTATTTATTTTTTTGATCATGAAAAGGGAGAAAGGGCGATCACTGGATAGTAATCCCCTCTGAGTGTAATCATCAAAGTCTCTTCAATGTGGAATGTTCGATTTGAGGTATAACTACTGACCCAGAAGGGTAAACCATCACCATAGTATCAATAAACCGCGTTGATTCCGTAAATCTAACTCTATTTGATAAACACATGAGAGTCAATAACAATCGTAAAAAAGTACGATTTACCATTAGACCATAAGCTTAGATGGTATGCCTCTAATTTGATTTCAATTTATAAGATAATCATTCACCATATAAATTCAATTGAGAAGATGAAATTTATAGCATTGAAGTAGGCTGACCATTTTGAATTGGAATTTGTCTAGGACAATTTAGAATTGGAGAAGAGTCAAACTCATATTGTTATGGGACTCGGTGAATAAAAAACCCACCTAAGCATGACTCGTTGACATTATATTATTAAGCTAAAGACCAAATTTGAATCGTGGTATCCTTCATATTTGGATAATTCTCGTTTGATTCAAAAAATAAAAATAAAAAAGAATAAAATATTATCATTTACTCGAATGAAGTGACTTTTTGGGTTGGTATTTTGTGTATGAAAACCCCCAATTGGATCATAATTTACTCACGTTGAGGTTGAGTTGTAACTAATTTCTTTTAAATCGATAGTTTTTCATTAATTTTCGAGTTTGAAGTTGAATCTTTGGGAAGCAAATTTTAGAGGCAATTCAAAGTAATTTGTGGCCTAAAGCAAAAATATTAAATATGGTCCTTTTTATTTTGATTATTAATTTTTTTTTTAAATTTTTTTATGTGAGAGAGAAACAAAAGAAGAGGATGTTAGTATTATCGGAAAAAATATTTTAACTTTATTTTTATTTTTTATTGGAGATAGAAAGTTTAATTTTGACTTTTATTTCTCTTTTTTATTTTTTTATTGGAGAGAAAGGGAGCGAGAAATAAAATGGATGGAATCCATATGAGTTGACTTTTGAATATTTTTTTTAATTTTTTTATCTTCTGGTTTTTAGATTTCTAATGTTATGGATTAGATCATGGGCCCAAATTATTGCAATAAAAATTTTAATTGGACTTTATTTTTTGAGACTTTTTTTAGGGTTTAAAATTGTGAAAATTAGAGGTGAGTTCTCATAAATGTACTTGTTTGGAGATAAATCCGGTAAGAAAACTTATAAGGATTAAGTCTATGTTTAAAATTATGTGTAATGACTTAAGTCTATTTTTTTTTTTTCTCAAAAATACTCCTAGCAGTGTTAAATTTGATCAATTATGGAAAGTCATATGTTAGATGTTTGAGATAAATATGGTAACAAATTATTTAGTTTTTTATGAAAATCGAATATGATGTTTGAATTACAACAAAATTATTGGTCTATTAATTCAATTTCAAATCAAGAGATTTCATTAACAATTACAATTCAAATTCAAATTTAAAATCTGAATCAAGATACTTAAACAAACATATACTGCTCGAACAACAATGCTACTTCAAAGATGAACTCAAAAACCAAACCCATTTTTTTTTTCCTATTTACTTGGATATTAACTAGTCGGAGCTTTACTTGGAGTGGAATTAGCAAGGCCCGGCCAATGAAAACAGTCACCACCATCCAATCTGCCATTAGCACCGCCACTTACCCACACTCACTAGCACAGCTACCACCAACTCTGTCGCCATTACCTTTGCTGCCTTGCTCCCTGGGCCAGTCAAACATACCAAGTTCATCTTCCATTTCATGAAAACCCGAACCATGCCCATGACCAAATCCACTAAAGGGCACAAACTCGACCCTCAGTGGTATTGCGACGTTCTGTTCTTTACGGGAGTTTTTTTTTTTATTATTTTGTTTTTGAAATTACGTTCTAAGTGTATTTTTTATTTTACTATTCGTGCTTTATTGAATTAGTATTGATTTGTTAAATTGAATGTTTTATGTTATTACTATTATTTTCCTAAATATTAATATTCAATATTACCATTTTTATTTTTATTTTTGAATATTACTATTTTTGTGTTTAAATTTGAGAGAGATAATTACTGTTAAACATGCTATTATTTTTGTTAAGTATGTTACTATTGTTATTTTTTAAAAATATTAATATTAAATGTTACTATTTTTTTATGTTTAAATGTTACCTTTTTTGTATTTAAATGGTATTATTTTTTGTGTCTAAATGATAATTTTTTTGTATTTGAATGTTACTATTTTTTATTTTTAATGTTACTATATATATATTCCTAATTTATATATGGAAATAGATAGATATGAGAGAGAAAATTTTTTAATGTTAGTCAAACTCCTAAGATTTACGAGATTTTAATTCTTAGTTTTATTTTACTTTTAAAGTAAAATGATAGTTTAATAAAATTGACAAAAAACAGACTTCATAACAAATAAGTTTCTTTGACGAACTTAAGTCCAAACAAGTCAATATAGAGAGACCGGCCTCTGAATTTCCCTTTAAAATTTAATAGATTTACATTTTTTTGTGGGTTAATAGCATATCTAAAATTATAGACTTTCTAAAAATTTGGAGCTTAAAACCCAGAATTTATTTTTCATACTGTTGGGCCACTCCCGACAAATTTATTTTTTGATGTGAAATTTAACAAAAGAATCAACTTGGGCGCAGTTCTTTCATTCTTTCTTTAAAAAAAGTTTCAGTTTTATTTCCTCTCATAAAAAGAGGAAATCCAGAGTTTCAGAGTTGGTCGAAATCTAATTCNAAAAAAGTTTCAGTTTTATTTCCTCTCATAAAAAGAGGAAATCCAGAGTTTCAGAGTTGGTCGAAATCTAATTCTTGTATATTTTTAAAAGTATCCTAATATGAAGTGGCAAATCTTTTTTTTTTTTTTAATCCAATCTATAAAGTTTTATAATTTTATAGTTTAGACTAAAATTTGAAATAAACTAAACCAAAATCTAAACTTAATATTTGTTGATATCAGTATACCACATTATTATGTAGATAATAATAATAATAATAAATTTTTTTGAGAAAATAAAAATTGACAGAAAAATTTGGTAAGGTAGAAAAGCTCATGAAAATCTGCCTCAGGGTTACAACTTCATTCACATCTGCTAATTGCTCCGCTTTGGGTGTAATGGCATTAGTTTNTTGATATCAGTATACCACATTATTATGTAGATAATAATAATAATAATAAATTTTTTGAGAAAATAAAAATTGACAGAAAAATTTGATAAGGTAGAAAAGCTCATGAAAATCTGCCTCAGGGTTACAACTTCGTTCACATCTGCTAATTGCTCCGCTTTGGGTGTAATGGCATTAGTTTCTCGATAATTGACATNAAAAATTGACAGAAAAATTTGGTAAGGTAGAAAAGCTCATGAAAATCTGCCTCAGGGTTACAACTTCATTCACATCTGCTAATTGCTCCGCTTTGGGTGTAATGGCATTAGTTTACCAACCAACCGTCTTTGAAACCTCATTCTCACCTGGACAATCTTCTTCCCAGACTTAATTTGTAAGGAAAACCTCTCACACGTTTACTTTACAACCCTCTCTCTCTCTCTCTCTCACACACACACACAGTTGTTATGTTCCCGTCGTGTAATTTAGTAGTATCGTGTCATTTTAGTTTCTTTCGAATATATGTAATTATGAATAGTAAAATTGTTTGGTTTCTTCATGCGATAACAAGTAAAAGATTGTTGCTAGATTTGTGCTGCTGCATCTGGGTTAATGAATAAAATTAGAAAAATACTATTTTGACATAATTTAACAACTTAATTGAATGCAATCATTTGATTTAAAGTGTGCTCCATATAACTTTAAAATTCATAATTAATCTAATAATTATATTAAATTAATTACCTAAATTTCTGGTCAAACTAGAAAAAATATTGAATATAATTATAACTTCACATGATATTGATAATAATATCCTAGTATAACATTGTGACATAGTGTAACCATGACACCCAACCCTAGCAGGAAACAGTCATTTATCAGCACAAGACACGTACATGCATACGTAACCCCTCCTTCATGGTCATCACATAATACTGCAAAGCTCTCTACAAACACACCCACCTCTTCAAATTTCACTACTCTCTCTCTCTCTCAGACACTCATCGACAACCAAGTTAAGTCTGGGCATGGGAAAGAAGCTTGATGCTCTGTTAGGAAGAAAATTCAAGACCACAAAACTTAAAGCCACTGTCAACCTTGCCATTTCTCGACTTTCCGTCCTCAAGAACCAGCGTCAGACCCGCTGCTCCCTGGCCAGGTCTGACGTTCTTCAACTCCTCAACCTTGGCCACCATGAAAGAGCTCTCCTACGGGTAATTTTTTCTTTTCTTTGGTGTTGTTCAATCCAAAAAATAAAAATAATATATATAATTTTATCTACGTCCACGAAACAACTCTTTTTCATTATAAGAAAAAGAATTTCGATAGAATTCCAATAGAGTTACAACTTGTATTTAATCAGTAATTGAAAATTTTAATCTTAGGCAGTCAGATTTACCTGTAATAAAACTCACGCTCTTCCCCGTTCCGTCCACTGATCATTGGAATTTTG